AGCATCTCCAGGAAGTTCCCAACGTGAGCTGGCCACTGTAGGCCCTTTCCAGGCAAGTGAGAAGCAGAGGCGGTTTGCCATTGCCTTCCTCAGCAGAACCGTTCTTGGTGGTCTCCCATCCAAGTACTGGCTCTGCTTAAGATCGGGCTATACGATGCCACTTTCCCTCCCAGTTAAAAGTGGTCTCTGTCCCATAAAAATACTACTTTATGGCCCTGGTCACACGGGCAGGAAAATGCGGGGGAGAAGCGTGGCTGTTTGCCCCAGAGCAAAATAATGCGCGGCTGCGCAATCAGACGTCACGTAGAGTCCCGTAGAGGCAAAGAAGCGGCCTCTCTAGCAAAAGGCTCCGTGGGTTTAACCCCTTCCAGGGCTGCAGAGGAATGCAAACTGTGTCCTCCGTCAGGTCCCCTCCAGGAGGAGCTTCAGCCGGGCGGCCCTCCTGCCACGCCCCCTGCACCGGTGCAGAGAGTTCCTCTCGAGCAGGCCGAGCCGGGGGGGTTACGGAAAAGAGGAGGGGGCTGTGTTGTTTGTTTTTAAACGGAAGTGTGCGCATGCGCCATTGGGTGCTTGTGCGCATCCCACGGAGACTTGGGGGGGAAAACCTTTTAGCGACGGGACATGGGCGGGTGCTGGATGCCCAACCTACAACCGGAAACACAATCAGGCACCCGCCCTTGCCCCGCGGTTTCCGGAAACTAGTACCTCAGAGGTACTCGTTTTTTACCCCGCATCTTCGGCGGGAAGCCTCGGGTTCGCCACGGGAGCTCTACGCTTCCCAGATGTGGCGCTGTGATCGCGCCCGGAAAATCCGCCTACCTTCCGTCTCTGTAGCGTGGCTAATGCTCCGTGTGACCGCAGCCTATGTTTGTTAAATGAGGTAACCAATGGAATCATGTCCATCTGCAAATGTCATAAAGGAGCACCAAGCAACCCGAGAGGAGTCAGGCTGCCCGTGTTTCTGGATGCTTTCATCTGATGAATCGTCTGCCCCATGACTAAGTGGTCCCATACGCCTCTGTACCATTATCTGACCTTTCCGAAGTTCAAAGATTTGTGTTCTGGCTGTGAGTAGAGGATGGGACACCAGATCTACCTAGACCACCTTTGTTTGTTCTCAACTCAGATTTCTTTTTATGCTTCCTTTGCGTTTAGGGAGACCCACTGTTGATGAAGCTCTCCTCCTGTCCTGGGTGAATTTGGGCAGGCCGACCAGAAGCCCCTGCGGGTGGGTAAGTATGTGCCGAACCTTCCGCTGCATGTGCGAATGGGATATCATTTGAGTCAGGGCTTGGCTCCAGTCAAAAATTTTATTAAAGGGGCAAAATAATGGGTCATGGGCAGTGTTCCCTCTAAGCTGAGTTAGTGTGAGCTAGCTCACCGTTTTTTTAGCCTCCGGCTCACACATTTTTGTCTTTGCTCAGGAAAGATGGCTCCAGAACAATCTAATTTATGCAGTAGCCAAATCACTCGCTCACAACTTTAATGCCAGTAGCTCACAAGAGTAGAGTTTTTGCTCACAAGACTCCACAGCTTAGAGGGAACATTGCAACATAGAGCCCTCGAATACAGTCTTGCATCCTGTTCAGTCTTAAAATACTCGCCTAAGAGAACCATCAGGTGCATAGCCTGAAGAGGTAAAGCTATAATGCCTTGCTTAATATTCAGGTGATAAGATCTGATCAATAGACCTTTGCAGAGAGAGAGAGAGAGAGAGCTGCTGGCACTGCCCATAGGCTGGCGCAGACCGTGTTGTGCCAGTGCTGCCCCTTTCCTGAACTCTCCCTTCCCCCCCTGCTCTGGCACTTGTCCTTTCCCTTTTATCTGACCTTGGCTATCCTTGTTCTCTGACGGTCAGGTTGGCCTTGAGTTCCCTGTCCTAGGCACTAACAAGCGCTTGGCACTGCCGCCACAACAAAGAAAAAGCAGAGAACAATGGCTCGCCACTAACACAAAGCCAGATATAACAGTTGGCATTGGAAACTGGCCTTGCCCTCTCTCTCTCTCTGGTCTTTTACGTGGCGTTGAGAAATTTGCGAGACTCTCTGGATGGGTACAAAGAAAGGAGGTTAATGGTTCACCGGGTGGGCAGTTTGCCGCTGGTAATTGGATGGAACATGGCACGGTGAACGGCCAACGTTAATAGCCAGGCCGTGATGAATTCAAGAGGGAACTGGTGAAACTGAAAGCACAGTCTGGGAATTAGAGAGAGAGGATCTTGGCAGGGAGTGGGGTGGGCTGTTCTGTAGCTGTGAGGGTTTGTCAAAGGGCTGTAAGGCTGAGGCATGCAGAGCCGGAATAGAAAGGGGGAGATTTAAAGAGGAAGAGGAAATAGGAAAAGCCAGAACGAAGCCCGGGTGGGAGGAGTGGGTAAGTGTGGACCAGTTTGGTCTGAGTCAGTATAAGATGACGTCACATGCTCAGCTACCCAGCAATTCTTATGTCCCCTTGCTGGTGACCAAAGCCCAAGTGAGTGACCCTCCCTGGTTAATTGTGGCCATAAGGCGGTTGGGAAAGAAGCTCATTCTCTGGACAGTTGCTGGGTCCAAGTTGGTTTCCCCTTTGCGTGTGGACCAGTTTGGTCTGAGTCAGTATAAGACAACGTCACATGCTCAGCAACCCAGCAATTCTTATGACCCTCCCTGGTTAATTGTGGTCATAAGGTGGTTGGGAAAGAAGCTCATTCTCTGGACAGTTGCTGGGTCCAAGTTGGTTTCCCCTTTGCCATGAGGGAGGGAGCCAGTGTAACCTCCCAGTGCCCCTTGGGTCTCTGGCTGGTGATGGGCAGGGGGGGGACCAGAATGCCCTTTATTGCAGCATAGAGAAGGGGCCACGGCTCAGTGGTAGAGAACCCGCTTTGTGTGTAGGAGATCCCAAGTTCAGTCCCCGGCATGTCCCATTAGAAACTATTTAGCTGTTTGAGAAAGGCCTTTCTCTGCTGGAGAGCAACTGCCAGTCAGAGTGGGCAATACTGAGCTTCAGGGACAGATGAAACTGACATGCTAAGTTAGATCGTCTACTCTGACCGGCAGCAGCTCTCCAGGGTCTCTCACATCACCTGCTGCCCAATCCTCCCCCCCTTTTTTTATTGGAGACCAGAGGTCATTTCGGGGGGGATCGTGGGGGATTGCAGTTCCCCCGGGTGAGGTACGGGGAGCAGGGCACATGACGAAGCACCGCCCTCATTCAGCCAGGAGGAGGCAGGAGAAGAGGGAGGGTAAGTTGCTTCCTCCCTGCCTCTCCCCACCCCTGCCTGCCTGGGGCCAGGGAGGGCCTTCGCGGGGCTTCCTTGCACTCCCGCCGGCCTTGCAGGTCCACCGCCGGGCCCCTCATGTGCTTGAGTTTTTGTGTCGGAAACTCAAATACTCAGCGCTGTATGGCATGACTTTCATGCCAGGTTCTTTCCTTTTCTGAATTAATTTGCCTTTTCCAAGAGATGGCTCCATTGTTCTTGTTCTGTAACTTCCAGGTCCAGAAAACAGCATGCTAGACAAGGCAAGAGGAAATGCAATGCCTTCTTTGTCATTTTGCATTTTACAGCTCTCTTGTCCTTGGGAGAGGAGGGTCCTCTATCGCTGTCTTTGATGTGCACGGCACTTGTCACCCTAGTGATGCCAAATCTCCGGGCTTCTCAAATGTCTGTGATCCTGTTTTCCTTACTAGGTAAAGGCTACATGCTTATGGGGGAACTGGTGATGTCAGGGGGTGTGGCCTTATGACACACCTCCGGTGATGTCAGGGTGTGTGGCATATGCTAATGAGTTATGCTAATGAGTTCCCCTAGCTCTTTTTCTACGAAACGACCCCTGTTGGTGACTGCAGGGACACCACTGGGGACCTTCTGCATGCCAAGCAGGTGCTCTTCCTCTGAGTCACAGCGCCTTAATCAGTGGTCTGATTCAATACTAGGCAGCTGCATATATTTCACAACTATAGGATATATTACAACAAACAGGACCACGGTGTATAATAGCCAATAAAACAGTAAATCACCGTGTACAATTACACAATATTTGTTGGTTTTTATATGCAATGTTTAGAATTCAATTACAACCATAACACCACAATATGCGATATAAAGCTTAGCAGTACATACAGAGTAATACAGTACTAGTTACAGACAAACGACGGAGTTCTAGTACACTATCCGTTTGCGTGTCCTTCTTCAGGTTTGTCATTCTGTAATTATTTCTTCATTAGAATGAAGTGCTGCAAGCCATATTTCAGAATGATAATTCTTATACAACTTTTTGATGTACGCTACCGCTCTTAGATTCTGGTGACTGGGGAGCTCCTATAGCAAGCTCTAATGTGACTGGGTCTACAGCATGTAATAATTGGCTACGCTTCCCTCAGTTTAATTGTGCATGGTGATTTACTGTTTTACTAGCATATATTTCACAGGCATAACTTCACCTGCTGCTCACTTGGTCTATTTTTTTCTTGTCTTTCCAGACTCAAATCCCCTGCCATGGAGAGGGGTCACCAAGTGTGGTTGTGTTCATTCAGCGTATTGGATGGTTGCATTTTACACACGTGTGACTGTTTTTTTGTCGAAGGGTCCCTGTCAAAAATTTGCCCAGCTGGCTGTGATTGAATGTGAGCGTGGGACATGGTAGGACTGCTGGCACAGAAGTGAGAACCCCTGTTTGCATCAGCCACTCATCAGGGCACCACAGTAAGCGGCTGCCTCTGCTTGCGTAAAGGGGTGTCACGTGGTGCCCGGACCGCTGTGCAGGACAGCCAACACATACTGATGTGCATGTTTGGAGAGCGCATGGTACCTCTGTGGGAGTGCGAAAAAGTGCGTGCGCTTGCTTGTGTGCCAGCATTTTCAGCAGTTCACAAGAAGATGTGCTAGCGTGGCCGGCTGTACAAGACAAGTGTGTGCATACCTGAGTCGTGTACGTTGACAAGTGTATAGGTGTCTGAATGTATACAGGTGATAGGACCTAGCTGTAAGGGTGTTTTTTTTTGTGTGTGTATGTGTGTGTCGCCCATCTACATTGATGGAAAAATCCAAAGCAGACCTAGAATCTGGAGCAAACCACCAAGGTGAAGAGAATGGGGAATTGCTCCTGGATGAACCCATGGTCCGGCCTGCCTGGGGGTCCAAGGCCCAATATATCCTAGCCCAAGTTGGTTTCTCTGTGGGGCTTGGCAACGTTTGGCGATTCCCATACCTCTGCCATCAAAATGGGGGAGGTGAGTAGAAAGGAGCAATTTTGATGTGTTCAGGGCTGGCGGAGGGTTCTTCTTAGCTAACAGTATGCCTGGACTTTTAACTGATCTGTGGTTGCTTGGAGGGAATCTTTATTCCCCATAGGTGACCAGGAAGCAGCTGTTTATGAGCATGCATTGTAGTACCATGTATGCTGTTCCTTACACGATCCAATCTGTTCATATGAATTACTTGGAAGCAGCAAGTACAGAAAAAAAGAGGGTGGTCTTCAGTTCTGTAGGCTGGAGGGGTGGTAAAACCAGGCTCCCCTTGCTCTTAAATGATTGCTAATAATTAACTATCGTATGGGAGTGTGTGTAGTACAGCCAGGAGATCCTAAGATTGTCTGTCAGCCAGAAGTTCTAGGTGTTTTAGCAGTATGCACCACTAGGTGGCGTGCTAGACTTATTTTTAAGGCAAGAGACGTTTCAGAGGCGGTTTGCCATTGCCTGCCTCTGCGTGGCAATGTTCCCTGTAAGCTGTGAAGGCTTCTGAGCAAAAATTCTACTTTGTGAGCTACTGGCATGAAAGTTGTGAGCGAGCGATTGGGCTACTGCATAGATTAGTTTGCTCTGGAGCCATCCTTCCTGAGCGAAGACAAAAAGGTGTGAGCCGGGGGCTAAAAAACTGTGAGCTAGCTCACACTAACCCAGCTTAGAGGGAACTGGTATTCCTTGGAGGTCACCCATCCAAATGCTAACCAAGGCTGACACTGCTTAGCTTCCTAGATCTGGCAAGATCAGGCTAGCCTGGGCTATTCCTATCAGGGCAAATTATTGCTGATTCAAAGGAACAGGTGATTTAAGGGAGCCTGGAGTCTGTTGCCAGGGGAAGGGCTTGCACCTGAATCTCTCTGTTTGTTCCCACACAGGCGCTTTCCTGCTGTTATATTTGCTGCTCCTCTTCGTCATTGGAATTCCACTTTTCTTCCTGGAACTGGCAGCTGGACAGATTATCCGCCAAGGCAGCATCGGGGTCTGGAAGCACATCAGCCCCCGCCTAGTGGGCATCGGCTTCGCAAGCTGCATAGTGAGTCTCCAGGGGTGGTTTGGAACCTCTAAAGCAGAGGTCGGCAACTGGCTGCCTGCAGTGCAGAACCAGCCCATGGGGGCGGGGGGGAGTTCTAGTTTCTATGACAAAAAGGTTTTTCCCTTGCTGTCTGTCTCCTTTTAATCTGTATGCGTTGCCGTATGTAATAGACTCAGCCAACTGTCAGTATTCTGGCAGCTGTCAGTAATGAAGGAGGGCTCAGGGCCCGTGCAATCCCTGGCACCTCCAGTTAAAGGGATCAGGGAGCAGGGGATGTGAAAGACCTTGGCCTGTGACTCTGGTGAGCGGCGGCCAGTCAGAGTAGACAAGAGTAGGCTGAATGTAAACCTCTGATACAAAAAGCTATGGAACCTTTATATAATGGACAAAATCTGAGATACTCTGAAACAAAATCTATCTAGAGGTGGTCAGAATGACATTGTATGTATATGGTACCCCAGACGAGTACATCCAGGGCTATTTTTGGGCAGGAACGCACAGGAACGGAGTTCCGGCTGGCTCCCAAGTTGGCCACGCCCAACAGGAACTCATTAGCATAATAGGCCACACCCAACAGCAGCAACTCATTAGGATTGGCTACAATTAGGAGTGTGTGGCCTACATGCAAAAAGCCCTGGGTTTTGACAACAAACAAGGTAAAGAGAATAAGAAGCGAAAGGTGGCTGTGGCTGGATGACCACACTTCTGGTAACATGGGGGTGTGGCCTAATATGCGAATGAGCTGTGCAGTCAGGGTATGGCCTATTATGCTAATGAGTTCCTGCTGGGCTTTTTCTACAAAAAAAGTCTTGAGTACATCTGTCTACCAAAGAAACAGTACCTGATATAATAAACACTCTGCATCTATGGTAATTTTCAAACTGTATAATACCGACAAACTGTACGAAATGTATGAAGCCACTGGGAGCTGACTGTGCTCATGCTGACCTTGTAAATCTATGCTGTTTATGAAAAAGAATAAAAATTATCTGTTTAAAAAAAGAGAGAGAGAGAGAGTGCGATAGGCCTGTGGTCTGACTCAGTGGAAGGCCGCTTCACGTGAACTGGAGGGAGAAGGACTTGGTCTCCTAACCCTGGTCTCAGAGTAGGGTTGCCAGCTCCCCCTCGCCGTCAGCGGAGGATGGGAGGCTAGGGCTACCAGATGCAAGTTGGGAAACTCCTGGAGATTTGGGTGTGGAGCCTGGGGAGGACAGGGGCCTCAGTGGGGCACGATGCCATAGAGTTCACCCTCCAAAGCATCTGTTTTCTCCGGGGAAACTGATCTCTGTAGTCTGGAGATGAGCTGTAATTCGGGGGAGCCCACCTATAGGCTGGCAACATTATCTCAGATTAATGTGGCACTCCAGTGAATCATTGACCTCTGGGGCAAATGGATGCAGTCGATTTCCTGTCGAAGATCCTCAGTGCATGCGTGTTCGGCATTTCTGCATCCTGCAGTCACCACCACCCTCCCCCAGTTGGGGCTGTGATTAGGATCCTCTCCGAATCACAGCCCCCTCCCCGGCACGGTTGTGGAGGTACTGATTTTTCTTCCTCCCTACCTACAGGTATGTTCCTTTGTCGCGCTGTATTACAATGTCATCATCGCCTGGAGTATTTACTACCTGGGCAATTCCTTCCAGCTTCCCCTGCCGTGGGAAAGTTGCCCAGAAGTATCCAACCACACAGAAGAAGGTTAGTAAAGACTGAAGGACAGCTGGTGCGTGCATGGTCGGCTCTTCCTACGCTTGGCCTTGCAGAGTTCTCTGGATGGAAAATTCGTTTCCCATGGATTGTCCCTAAGACCCTTGCATTGCCGTCTCTGTTCTCTTATTCATTTCCTTACTACTTTTGTAGTCTGGCCTTTCTCAGTTGGACTCAAGGTGGATTATACAGTTAAAAGCCATGTAATAATAAGAGCGGTGTAATAAATATAACAGCAATGCAGCAAAAGGAAATGACAAAATTAGATAAACAGTGCAACGATATAAAGCAATCAAAACTACCCCAAATTTCTTTATTTCTTTCTTTTTTGGTATTTTTGTAGTGTGCGTGTGTGTGTGCACCTGGAAGTCATGGCGACCTCTGGTGACTGACCCCCTATTGGGGGCCTGGAGGATATTCAGCGAGTTGGCTGAATAAAGCCTGCCCCCACCTCCTGACTGTTGGTATTCCTTGGAGGTCTCCCATCCAAGCACTTGCCAGAGTCGACCCTGCTTAGCTTCTGAGATCTGATGAGATTGGGCTTGCCTGGGCTATCCAGGTCAGGGCACTACCCTAAATGTCAGAGGCGTTCACCGTGTCACCCTGTTCTGTTTATACAAAGGCCCTCCTGAATGGTTCCTGTGAGTGACCCTTTATTCTCTTCTCAGAAATGGAGTGTACCCGCAGTTCTCCCACCGCCTTCTTCTGGTACCGTAACGCCTTGAACGTGACCGGCTCCATTGAGGAGAGTGGGGGCTTCAATCTCGCTCTTGCCGGCTGCCTCTTTGCAGCGTGGGCCCTGGTGGCTCTCGCCATGATCAAAGGCATCAAGTCCTCCGGCAAGGTCTGGACCTCTGCAACCGTGTTTGTTTCCTTCCCTCTTATGCGCAGCGACACCCCAGTTGAACAGTAATACTTATGACTGTCAGCTGGTGACAGACTCCTTTTACCGGACTACTTAATTCCTAAACTGAAAATCAATATGCATATTGACAAAATCCCTAAATGGGTGCGTTCCTTTGCGGCATGGAATTAAACACAAGGAATGGGAGTCCATTAACCAAGCCGATACTCATTGTTAGCATAAAATCTTTAATAGTGCTTAGCATAAATTAGCATAAAATCTTTAATAGTGCTTAGCATAAATTAGCATAAAATCTTTAATAATGCTAAGCATAAATTCACATAAAATCTTTAATAATGCTTAGCATAAATTAGCATAAAATCTTTAATAATTAGCATGAGATCTTCAATAATTAGCATGAAATCTTTCATAATGTTTCATCTTCCACAGTAATACACTACGTCTAGAATATCCCCAGAAAAGAACTTAAAAGGACAACTGTTCTCTTACATCTCTGCCCCGCTTTTTAAACGGAGCTCTTTGTGGGTTTTAACAAGATAGAGATTTGTAAGCTTGTGGCTCCAGTTAGTTACTGAGTAGGTTCTGGGGCAGCCTTGTTGGGTTGAGAAGCAGCTGAGCAGTATGGCTGTGGGTGAGGGGTGCTCTTTTCTCCCTCCCATTGAATCAAAATTACGTTCAAGTGGCTCCTCCGTGACCAATTCCAAATCAGAGTATTCCCCTGGATCACAGGTGGGATTTGAGAAAGGGAGTGATGGACAGTTTGAAAGTCTAAAGCGACCCCTTTGCACTGATGATTCTTCCGAAAGCTTCATTAACCTCATGCTTGCCCGTATTCTCAATCCCACCGCAGGTCCTGTATTTCAGTTCGCTGTTCCCCTACGTGGTCCTCTTCTGCTTCCTCGTGCGGGCACTGCTGCTAGACGGGGCGATGGACGGAATCCGGATCATGTTCACACCCAAGGTGAGAGAGCCGGGGCCCCTGCAGAAACGCTGCCGCTGATGAGGCGCTCCCTTGCTTCCCACAAACAGATGTCCCCCATCCTTTCCCATTTTGGAACAGCAGTTATGTCCACATCTGTAAATGTTACAACTTACAAATAAGTTTTGAAAGAAGTGGGGTGGGAAGCATGTCATGGGCCCCGGTCACACGGTCAAGATATCGCGGGGGGGGGGGGGGCGTGTCTGTTTGCCCGCCGTCCCATGGTTGGGGGAAGGTGCCGATCATACCTCACTCCTGCGGCGCGACAAAGAAGCGGCGCCGCGGGGGTTGTGTGTTTTTTTTTAACCCAAGTGTTAGTATGCGCCGTTGGGTGCTTGTGCGCACCTGTGGAGAGAGACTTGACCAAAAAAAAACTTTTCGCGATGGGACATGGGCGGGCGTCGGATGCCACGAGCTAACACCGGAAACGTGATCTGACGCCCGCCCTTGCCCCGCGGTTTCTGGAAACTAGTACCTCGGAGGTACTAGTTTTTTACAGCACATCTTCGGAGTGAAGCCTTGGGTGAGCCATGGGAGCTCTACACTTCCCAGATGTGGCGGTGAGATCACGCCCGGAAAATCCGCCTATCTTCCATCTCTCTAGCGTGCCTAATGCTCCGTGTGACCGGGTCCTTGTTCCCCCTTTCGAAGTGCAGCCCCTGTGGGCCGTTCTCCGTGTAACCATCTGCTCTCCGCTTTTCCCCTCTGCCCCAGCTGTCCGTCTGGGGTGACATGCAGGTCTGGCGCCAGGCAGCCACCCAGGTGTTCTTCGCGCTGGGCCTGGGCTTCGGCACCATCATCGCTTACTCCAGCTACAACTCGCGGGACAACAACTGCCACATCGACGGGCTGTTAGTCGCCATGGTCAACTTCTTCACCTCGGTGCTGGCCACACTGGTCGTGTTTGCCGTGCTGGGCTTCCGTGCCAATATCATCGCCCAGGCATGTGTGGAAAGGTTAGTCGCTTCCCAGCCGAACACCACCTCTGCTTCGTTTGTCCCGGTGGAGGAGGACTTTCTGTGAATGGTCTCCCAAAGAGCGTCAGGCTTGCTCGTGTAATCCTGCTTCCGTTTGCCTCCTCCCCCATGCTGCAAGGACATTGCTTCTTTACACTTCCCTTATGGATGAACCAGTAACTTGTGCGTAGTTGCCACAGAGGCAAGGTTTCCAAATTCTGAAACACCCCTCCCCCCATTGGAATCCTGATTGGCAGGATGAACTGTTTGCTGGTTCAAATGTAACAGTAATCTATTATTTGGGTGTGTGTGTGTGTGTAAAAGCAACTAATTAGCTAATGGAGAGAGTCAGGGACAGGGATCACAGAAGTAAGACCGAACCTCCTTTTGAATGTTCCTGACCTGGATGGCCCAGGCTAACCTGATTTTGTCAGATCTCGGAAGCTAAGCAGGGTCGGCCCTGGTTAGTACATGGATGGGAGGCCACCAAGGAAGTCCAGAGTTGCTACACAGCAGCAGGCAATGGGAAACCGTGCACTGTTTGTCTCTTGTCTTGAAAACCCCTGTAGGTGTTGCAGTAAGCTGGCTGCAACTTGACAGCCCCTTCCACCACTACTCACATAGCAGTGAGGCATGGTTTACTGTGAAGCCTGAACCATGCCTCTCTCCCTGGGAAGCGTATAATCTATGGGTGCAGTCAGGGCTCTTTTTTAGAAAAAGCCCAGCAGGAACTCATTAGCATAATAGGCCACACCCAACAGCAGAAACTCATTAGCATATTAGGCCACACCCCTGACAGCACAGCTCATTAGCACATTAGGCCGCACCCCCATGTTACCAGAAGTGTGGTTATCCAGCCACACCCAGCTTTTGCTTCTTATTCTGTTTACCTTGTTTGTGGTCCAAACCCAGGGCTTTTTTGTAGCAGGAACTCCTTTGCATGTGAGGCCACACACCCCGAATGTAGCCAATCCTAATGAGTTTCTAAACGGGGAATCGATGAATCTGAATCGCATCTCAGCACCGAGGGCTCCCTATGGAGTTTGCAATGATGCGCATCCCAATGGCACGGAGTCGGGATGGCCTGATCAGACCATCCTGATGCCATGAAAGCGTGCTGGAGCGATCAAACAGGAGAGTCCATCTGTGGCCCATAGCTACCCATTTGCTAGTGGACTTTCCCCGGTGTCTTTTTACTCCGCTTCTGTGGTGGAGCAAAACGGGTTGCTGACGGGTGCGGAGCGCTTCCCAGATGTTTGTGTCTGATCGTGCCCTTTAAATCCACCTGGCATTCACGCCTATGGCGTGGCTAATTGTGCATGTGATCACGCCCTATGTTTCTGTCACTCATACACACACACACACACACACAGAACAAAGCTTGAGTCCAGGGGCACCTAGGTCAACAAAGTTTTATTCAAAGTGTAAGCTTCTTCAGGCAAATGGAAGAAGATCTCCTAAGGTTTACTTACGGAGAGGGGGGGGGCAGCCGTGAGGAGGGGCCACTCAGAGCCCAGATGCATCTGCAGGGCTGAAATTGGATCAGGTGGCCGGTAAGATCAACAGATGGTTGCAAATTAGCACGCAAGTGCAAGAGTTAACAAAAAGATGTGAAGATGAAGCCAGAGTCCAGCAGTACACATACACAGTCTGTTAATTTGCAAACAGCACACTTCAACCAAAATTTACTCTGCTGACATGTTTGAACATCTTTTTTTGTGTGTGCTGGAATTAGTAGTTATTGCACCTGTTTCCATTACCTTAGACTACATGAACAGCACAGTCCCAAGCAGACTGAACACCCAATGAAGTGAATGGGCTTAGAAGGGTGTATCTTTGTTTAGGATTGCGCTGCAGGGCTGCTTTCTCACGTCTCTGTTTAGGATTGCGCTGTAGGGCTGCTTTCTCACGTCTCTGTTTAGGATTGCGCTGTAGGGCTGCTTTCTCACACATCGGATATGCCCTTTCAGTGCACTATAGTGATGGTTTGCCAGTGGATTTTCCTGCATGAAATCCACTCCACTTGCAAATGATCGCTCAAGTGCATCGAAAGTGCATTATCCGATGTGTGAGAAAGCAGCCGACTTTATTGGCTGTGTTCAGACCTCATGATCTTTGGTTTGTGGCAAGAGCGAGCCTGGAAATCCTTGGGCTTGAAAGAAGGATCACATCGGCACAGTCAACAGCAGTGCTGCAGAGGAGAACAGCTTTGGTTCGAAAAACAAAATGTGTTAAAGGCTGAGGACTCAGCACCCCTTGGATTGAGGGAAGGCGCTACCGTTAGCAGAACCAACGCAGAGGATCTGTATGCATAATTACTCCCACTTCTTTTTCTGCAGGGACGTAAGACTTCTGACCCCTCCCCCACTTCCAATGTTTTGTTCTTGGTTTTTCTAGCAACATAGACAGACTGTTTCACCTGCAGCTCAATGGATCCTTCCCTCATGACCCACTCCCTGCCAGGAATGTCTCAAACACTCAGTACGGCATCTGGTACCAGGGACTCCCCAATGAAACGACAACACAGTTGCTGGATTTGGGGATCGGGGACTGTCGTATCGAGGACGAGATGAACAAGGTGATTATGCAGGGGGATACCATGGAGGGGCATGAGAGTCAGGCCATTGGCTGGTGCCTAGCCTGTGTCACTCACAATCCACCAATCCAAACACAGTTAAACAGACAGGTACGGTGGCCTGTCAGGGACTCAGTGAACTTTTGGGTGTTGCTGCTTAACTGGGGATAGTAGTGGCGCACCTGGCCTGATGAGTCATGTCTGATGAGTCACGTTGGCTTAGGGGAGGCATCTGGGCTGTTCTTGTTTGCTTGGTTGGATGCGAACGGTGATGTAAGAAAAGGACAGAAGTCATCAGGACCAAGTTTCTCTCTGTCTCTGTCTCAAATGAAGACCAGGAAAGGGAGACTTTTCAGTCCTTTTATACTTAATGCCTCCTGTTGTTTAAAAAAGTCACGTTCTGTCACAAGCTATGAGAGCCAGGTGGTGTAGCGCAGGGCTCTTTTTGTAGAAAAAGCCCAGCAGGAACTCATTAGCATAATAGGCCACACCCAACCGCAGGAACTCATTAGCATATTGGGCCACACCCCTGACAGCACAGCTCATTAGCACATTAGGCCTCCATGTTAGCAGAAGTGTGGTCATCCAGCCACACCCACCTTTTGCTTCTTATTCTGTTTACCTTGTTTGTTGTCAAAACCCAGGGCCTTTTTTTGGAGCAGGAACTCCTTTGCATGTTAGGCCACACACCCCTTATGTAGCCAATCCTAATGGGTTTCTGCTGTTGGGTGTGGCCTGTTATGCTAATGAGTTCCTGCTGGGCGTGGCCAACTTGGGAGCCAGCCGGAACTCCGTTCCTTGCCCAAAAATAGCCCTGAGTGTCAGACTAGTTCTGAGAGACCCAGGTTCAAATCCCCCACTCTACGCTGAAGCTTGTTGGGTGATCTTGTGGCATTTACACTCCCCCACTCTTAGAATCATAGAACCACAGGGTTGGAAGGGGCCATACAGGCCATCTAGTCCATCCC